ATTTTAGTTGACGAAAGACGAAACTAGGTTTCGCATTTCGTCAGCGCGAAACCTCAAGGTTTCGTCTAACAACTATAAGTGGGAGTTAGAAGACTATAATCGAATGCCATCTAATTTATTATTAGAAAGACTTGAGTGTCTAGCACGTCGAACAATGCACCATATCAATCCTCCACCGTATGCACTAGCAGCAGGTAATATAATAAAAATGGCATTAATATTGTTAAGGGCACGTGCGAATGTTCCAGTTGTTCTTATGGGAGAAGCCGGATGTGGCAAGGTTATTAATTTTTATTTATTTTTTACATGTTTAAATAAATAATATTAATTACATTATTTTATAATATTTAGTCTAGTTTAATAGGATTCTTGGCCAAGGTAGTCGAAGTTAATTATGAACCATTCAATCTTCATTCAGGAATTAAGGAGCAAGATATATTAGATTTTATGGACAAGGCTCAGAAAATGGTTTATAATGGCGAGTTATGGTTATTTTTTGACGAAATTAATACCTGTGATCACATCGGGTTGCTTACAAATTTGATAGCACATCGTATGATTAAAGGGAAGTTAGTGCATCCTAATATTAGAATATTTTCGGTAATGAACAATTTCAAATTTAATTAAATGTGATGTCTCTTACATATTTCTTAGATTAATGAAGGTTTATTTTTTCAATAAGGCATGTAACCCTTATCGTAAAAGGATCGAAGTTCAAAGTCAATATGGAATAAAAACTAAGGTTAGAAGATATGAAGAACAAAGTGATCTTGTATATCAAGTAAAACCGCAAATATTAGATTATGTTTGGGATTATGGCGCTCTCCTTCCAGTTGATGAAAAAAGATATATACAAGTAATGGTGCAAACACGATTTGGAGAAGGACACGAATTATTTACAGAGCTCCTATTTACATCGCAGCAGTTTATTCGTACAATTGAAGAAAATTATAGTGTTAGTTTGCGTGATGTAAAACGAGCAATTAAATTAGTTTCATTCTTTGAAGAAAGTCTTCGAGAGCGTTCAAGTTATGGTTACTCGATAGGAAATAGATACTATCTATCTCCTGATAGTATTAGTCTTCGAATCCGTTGTTATATTTTAGCACTTGGCCTTTGTTATCAATCTAGAATATATGATCAAGAATCACGTAGTAAATATCGGCAAGAAATAATTAAAGTATTCCAAAGGTACAGAATGATTATTAGGGAGAGTGAATTTACTAGAGTGATTCGAGATGAGCAAGAAGATTGGGTTAAAAGAATGCAAATATTGCGATGAACGAGGCATTATTAGAAAATGTTTTAGTGATGATTGTTTGTATTCTTACCAAAATTCCTGTGTTTATTATCGGTGATCCTGGGTAAGATTGATCTTTTGCTGTCATTGCAACTTGAATCATTCTATCTAAGCTTTATACATAACTACAAACTTTGTTTATCAGATCATCAAAATCCTTAGCGATTAAACTTGTGGGACAAAACCTTCGTGGATCTGATTCAAATGATAGATATTTCCGAAAACTTCCTCAGGTTTAAAATCAGTTGATTTTTTTTACAGCTAGCAACGTTATTTAAAATTTATTGATTTTAATTTAAAAAACAGGTATACCTTATTTCCTACCAAGGGTCGTCATCTTCAACTTCGGATGGTTTCATTAAAGTTTTTGGCAAAGCTATTAAGTATCAAGAAACCATTTCAAAAGAATTTTCTATAATCAATATTGTTGTTCTTGATAATGGTAAGCTAAAAACTATAGTCCTTTTCTCTTTTATTTGATTTTATATATCAATAATTTGCTGTTATGTAGTCGGATTGGCTGAGACTAACGTACACAATCCACTTAAAATACTTCATGCATTACTTGAACCAAATTATCCGTCTGATGGGCCAGCTGTTTCCTTCGTTGGTATTAGCAATTGGAGATTAGATATTGGTAAATGCAGCAGAGCTTTATTAGTTCAGAGGTTGGCATATTTTATATTTTATATAATTGCATTGTAAAACATCTAAATTATTATGATTCGAATAATTAGGCCTAAATTTGGTACTGATGATCTTGTCGATACGGCGGTTTGTTTACTTGACTCTAAATCGCATATAACGCGTGCTTCGCTTCGGCCACTTGCAGAAGCCTATTCAGAATATGAAGGATGTAGTCAATCACATTCTAATTTCCACGGTCTTCGAGATTACTATGGATTAATAAAAAGTTTATCGAAGTCTGATTTAACACCTGAAAATGTTCAAATGGCATTGGAAAGAAATTTTGGTGGCACTGATCGAAATGAGAATCCTTGTAAAGAATATTTCGAAACTGTGATAAAAACATTTAGTAATTATCGGTATTGGGTATATAATCCAAATCCAATTTTAACTTTGATTAAAGCTAATTTGGATGATGAGAGTGCAAGATACCTTATGGTTATTGGAAAAAGTGATTCTATAGTGACTATTTTGACATATCAGTTAATTGGGAAAGGATTAGACCCCATGGTTATTTTAGGACCACAATTTCAAGATGACCAACAAGACTATTCTTATAATGTTTTAAGTAGAATTATGGTAAATTGATTCATTTTTTGCATACTAAATTATTTTATGTTCCTAATTATATATTGTTTTATTGTTAGATGTGTGTTGAAGCAGGAAGACCTGTTATCTTGACAGATTATTTACGGTATTTACCTATTTGTTTTTGTTGTTTGTTTAAATTATATATTAGATTATTTACTCATTTTTATAAACTTGTTATAACTTCATCCATAAAGGCGCTCTTTATGATTTATTGAACCAGAATTATGATGTATTTGGAAGTAAAAATGATCCCAAATATTACACTCGTGTTGCACTTGGAGCATATGCAAATCCTATGATGTAAGTTACTATGTGAATATACAGTCGTACCCGCCCGAGTTATATCACCCCTTTTTTTCGAGAGTGTTTTTGGAAATAAAACTTAAGTGGAGAGAGATATAACTCAATATACAAACTATATAAAAAAAGAAAATCTATTCTGCTAAAAAACGGTGATATAACTCAGGTATGACAGAATATATTTTGTTAAAATTTTGTCAGGTTATCTAACATTTTTCTGTTTTACAAAGATATATTCATAGGAATTTTAGATGTGTTGTCAGACCCGGAAACGGCGAGTCTGTTGCTAGCTCGAAAGTAGGACCGTGTAACCTCAACCTTGGTTACCTTGGGTTCGAAAGAGGCGTGTTAGATTTAGTCGAGTGGTATAGTTTTAGGTTAGGGCAGGACCAAGATTTCACACAGTTGAGGTAGGGTTCGTAGCGAAGGTGTATCTCTATATCTTAAAGGTTAGAAATGGTTTACGAAGACGTACAAGCGTATAATTTTTATTTAAAAGTAATTAGTCAAATTTTCGAAGTGTATGGTTTTATTAATAATGATAGTATCGTGTATGAAAGAAATTGTATGGTAGCAATGATTTAATAAAGCAAAGGTGGGAGTTATTCTTCTCCCAAGGTCTCAAAGGCCTTTATTTATAATCAATTCTTTATTTACTTATTGCATGCAGAATTCGCCGTATTCCCAAAATTACCCTTATTACTGTAATTACTGTAATTATTGAAATTCGCCTTATTCCCGTTTTTCGACTTATTCTAAAAATCCACCGAATTTCCCTAATTCTCGTAATTCCGGGAATTCCTGGAATTCCGGCGGTAAACCCAAAATTGGAATTCCCGGGTCACGCGGCCACGTGCCTGCGGTCAGGTCACGTTTCCGGTCTCACAGTGTTTTAGTTCTTGATGAAAAAAAATTAGTAACAGCTGATCCAGCACTGCTAAATAGACTTGAAAAACAAAGGATGACAATTGACGGCATTCTTACTGACAAACATCAAAAGATAATTAAAATCCTAAGCACTTGGACGCAGCAGATGGTGTCTATGGCAGAAACAACTAACGCGTCGCGAATTTCTTTTACACGAGAGGATCTTTTTATTGGTTTTGATGAAAACGAAACATTACAAAGTTTAGTAATTGATGTTATGACAAAATTCCATAAGGATAATGAATAAGCAATAATTAGACGATGCAAAGCAGCTTTAATTGACATTGCATCTTCTGATGGAATGATCAGAGCTTCAAGATCAAACGTGGATCCTGAAGAAATTGATCTATGGAGTAATGTTTATTTCCGCAATTTAACTGACGGACACATTCCATTGCAGAATCATAATAGTCTTGTTGCATTTTTTGGACAGTTTATGAACACGGACTCGATAATAACGAGATTCATTATAAATACGTTCTCTAATATCAATACAGATGTTGCTGAGTGTTTAAGAAATCTCTTCATATGTCAAGCAAATAAATTATCGACGTTTAAGACAGAAGCTCAATTTGAAAATCGAATAAAACGATTTTGGGAGGAATCAGACGAACAAATGTTAATTCTTCACTGCGATATTACTACCATAAATGCAAGGTGTATTAAGTTAGCGAAATTCATTATTGAGCAATTACAGAATGAATTTTTGAGAAAAAATCCAAATTATGCTAAGTATGTCTGTATTCTCCTCCATATTCAGCGAGATCAAGATTATACGTCTTTGTTTAATTTTATGTGCGGATGGAAACAAGTTACAATCGAGAACTTAACGTTAAATAAATAAAATTTCAATTTTTCTATTTTTTATACTGTATTTAGAGAATTCCAAGACTGTAACCATGATTTAAAAGATTCTAATGAAATAAAATTTCTTTTTACAAGTAAATTCTAATTACATAATATTCATGAGTATTAATTAATTTAAAATGAAAGCTTTGAACACCATAAATATTACCAAGCGGTAATTTTAGGGGATGTACTAAAGCTTATTTCATTTTCTATTGGTCACCTTATTCTAATTTATCTCGACTAATACGTATGTTTTTCAAATTTTCAAATTTCTTTTTATAACAAAACGCTATTATTATCTTTATTTTTGCTATAATAGTTTATTTAATTTATAAGTCCTTGTTATGCACTTAGATAATAAGCTTTTGTTGTGCGTGAATTTAATGGGCGTGAATTTGAAATTGAGTTGCATCAGACCGAAATTTATTATGCATTATACTAAAATCGATCGCATTTTTGGAATAAGAATTGTTATGTAGGTCTTTACTACTCTTTGTAATACTTGATGTCATATTATTTTTTGTTCGCTAAATCTTGTAATGGTTGTGATGTATATAAAAAAGTATGTTTTGAAGAAGAATCAATCTGAATAAATATAAGAATTAAATCCATTTTTTATAAAGATAAATTATATTATAATGAATTTACTAAAATAGCTACCGAAAGTTTTTCGTAAAATAAATGAATACTCCATAGCAGTATTTTCATGGGACAGGGACACGGACAACGGACAGTCCGGGACCGGACGTCCCGGACATGTCTGCCAAAATGATAACATACTGGACAATTAAAAATTGTAATAAGAGTGTCCTTTTTAGCTAATGAGGTCGCTGTGAATAGGACACCATCACGGACATGGGACAACGTCCGTGTACAGCACTGCTCTATAGTATTTAATTCGATACAAAATACATGAATGGTGTATATAGAAATTATTAATTTATTATTTTATTAATAATATTTTTATCATGACTTTTTTCAGTATCGTATTTTCGTGAAATAACGCACAGGTGCGTTATTTTGAATTTTGGCCCGAATTAAGCTTAATTCGGGCCAAATTTCGAAATTATACCCCTGTGCGTTATTTCAAGAAAATACGGTATGATAAAATCAGTCGTAACCAAATTTTAATTTTACGCAACTCAATTTTATAATTTATGCCTATTCTAATTTGAGTACGACTATTTCAAGAAAAATTCAGAGTCATATAAAACTGCTTGCTAAATTATTTTGATATTTAAGTTTCCTGTGGTAGTATAACCTTAATTTGGACCATTGTTCAAAATAACGCCCTGGATGTTATTCCGCGCTTATCAATTGATTAATAATTCATTATATTTTAAAGGGTTCATCCATAATTCAAGAGATTATAAAACTGTATTGGTGTTATTTAGAACATATTAAAAATTTTGGATATATTTAAAATTGTAGACTTTCAATATCATGAAATCTGGTTTTTATCAGCATTTAACTGATGCTGGAAACAGCTAAAGTCAGAATTCGGTGATTTCTATTTAAAATATGAACTTGCTAAATACGCCATACTCTTTTATTATAAATTCTAAATCTTAACCTTACTATAAAATTTAATATTAAATAAGTCCTGGTTTAACTTAGCTACTGTACAATATTAATTTGCTTGAAAACACGTTATTATACTCTTACAAATGTGACACATAGGGTTGCACAGTAAATGGTAACGCACATCAGTAAGTTGTACAGTAAATGGTGCCAGGAAGAATAACGTAAGTTACCTAATAATTCTTGGCAATTTACCGAATTTAAGTTGAGTTAATCATAAATTTGACCATAATTAAGTAGGAGAGAAAAAATAGAGCAATATCAGAACATTTAGAGATGTAGATGGTGGTCGTGGATTTTCATGAGGTATCTGGTATGGTAATTTACGTATTTACATACGTATCTGGTTACCCGGAGTTCGGTAACTTGAAATAAAATTTATAAATCACAATTATATATATTTTCTATAGATCAGATTATTTCAAAAAAACACATTCATTCTATTAGTTGAAGAACGACTATTGACTGAATAATTTGCCACATTTCGATTACAAAATGATAAAGAAAAAAATATATATAATTGGTGGTTTATTTCACCGCCACAATTATAAAATTACTTAAAACGTTATAATGTTTTTAATGCAACACATTGGCCTGCACTATAGTAGTACTGTACAGTGCATTTGAAGTTGCTCTCGTACAACGCGTAACCAACGTGTATGTCGCAAAATTTAAATTGAATTACCTCTTTCGGTACTCAAATAAAAAATGTCATAAAAATCAATAATTGAGTTATGGATAAATTGGAAACTTTATTTATTACAGACACTAGTTACGTAGTTCGCTATTGATGCTTGCGAGCTAACGATTTTGTAATCAATTGAAAATTGCTCAAGTTGTTAACTAGTGAAGTGGTGACTGATATAATATTTCTGTAATTAAAAAAAGCCATTACATCAAAAACATTCATTTACTTACTCTCATTAAAAAAAATCGAAAATGGAATCGACAGCACCAATACCTCAAACTAATGGCATCTCTTATTTCGGAAGTATTGCCCTTTTAGTTTCATCTATAATTGGGCCTGGACTTGTAACTAGTAAGTGTAAATATAATTAGCAATAATTCTTTTTTCTTTGATAAACTAATTTTGGTAATTATATTTTGCTTCAAGTCCCGATATTATTCCAAAGTGCTGGTTGGTTTGTGTGAGTGTTAACCATATTTATTGCATTCGTTTGCATTTATATATGCATCAGTATTTGTTTTCTATTCGTAATATACTATTAAAATAAAAACTCCACGATTAATAGAACGGCAGGAGCGTTTCTTTTTATTTCAATATTAAGTTGTGTTTCCTCGCTATTATTATGTGAAGCTGCGAGTTCAATTAAGGGAAATGAAAAATTTCAAGTAACGATTAATCCAATTTATCACTTATTATAACAATCTTTTTATGTCAACTTATTAACAAATATTTAATTATTTATAGCGCCAAATTGAATTCTCTCACCTTACTGCAATCCTCGTATCAGATAAACGAAAACGACTTCTTATTCAAATAAGCCTCTTTGTTTCACTTCAATCTGTTAATATCGCTTCAATACTATTATCCGCACAATCAATGGATACGCTATTTATATCGCTGTTTGGTAAGACGTGTGGACTAGGTATATATCCTCAAAGTGGTTTCTACTGTGTAGATCAACAAGGTGATTATAATAGTCCTTTCGGGACGAATTATATGGTCGTAACTTTAGGATTCTTGGTAAGCTGATTAGTTCAGAGGTTACAATGCATCTGATTTCTTGTAGTTCAGCTGTATGATACGGCATTAGTTTTATATTATTATATTATCAAAGTTAACCTAGTATTTTTTTTACAGATGACTCTCGTCATGGTCGTACCTCTTGGTATTTTCTCATTAGCAGACAATATCAAAGTTCAAATAGGTAAGTATAATACACGGATAGTCGGATAGTCAGATAGTTAAATTATTATATTGACGAAACACCTTCAAACTAAATACTTTTTTTAATCTTTAGCTTCATTCGTCGGATTGATAGCTATACTTTCAGCCTGGTTTATTACCTTTTTCGAACATGGGTTAACACCATCGTACGTTCCGGATTTTGGGAATGACATGAGTCAAGTAATTGGAACTGTTCTATTCAATTATGCCTTTATTGTAACAGTCCCTAGTTGGGTTAATGACTTGGTAAATCAAAGTTTATGATATATGTATTTTACTTTTGAAAACTAACATAACCTACTCTAACCTAAAAATTAATTATTAGGATCCTAAAGTTCCTATACAAAGATCTGTTTTTTATTCAATCTTAATTTCAACTTTAAATTATGTTTCAATTGGAATCATTGGTGGAATGGCCTTTCCGATAAATCAAAATTCTGATATTATATCTGTAATTAATCAGTCTAACGAAAGAAATTGGTTGACTGTTTCTAGTACTTATATATTTCCAGTCGCCGTATTAATAACAAGTATTCCAGTTTATACAATTGTTATCCGATACAATTTAATTCGATCAGGACACTGTAAAAAAGGTAATTAGTGTAAAAAAATCAGTCACCTAATGCATCATATTACCCTAAATTAATTTCAAAGACAAATGGTTTAAAATTTTAACGTTTTAATATTTATTTTAGGCTTAGCAGTTTTTCTTTCTTCAGTATTACCATGGATTGTTGTGTTGCCATTTCAAACCGGCAGTTGGCTTACCGTTTTTGTAAATTGGACAAATTTATTCTTCTCAAGCATTAGTAACTTTGTCGTTCCGTTTTATCTATATTATTTAAGTCAAAAACCAACTGTTGCTGTACAAGCAGAAATAAAATTGAAGAAAATTGAATGTAAATTATTTATCTTTATTATAATATTTAGAATTCATTTTACTTTTGAACTTAATAGAATTATTTTAACCTTCTATTCTTTCAATTTTTTCTATTGATTTTATTCATTTAGCCGATATTAAACGACAAGCTTCAGTCAGGAGTACCAAGAGTGACAAAAGTTTTAAAAATGTAAAAGACTGGATAAACTCTCAAGTAATAACTAGAGAGAGATTACGTGATGGAACAGATGCTGCCGTCGGTATCTTATACAATGATGATGATTATTATAACGTTTCTACACCAGGTACTCCAAATAGTTTAAATCCAAATGCCGAACACCTTCACGTACCAGGACGTAGAATAGTATCTGCTCCGCCTACAACTTCAAAATCTGATCCACAAGAAAGAGATAATCATTCTCGACCCGCATTAAGTCTCCAGATGCCTCCTTCAATTGTACATCGTTCTAATTTAAGTCGTCGTGCTTCTCCTCCAAGTATTCCAAGTATTGAATATAACATACAAAATACAAATATACCTACAATTATACCTACAATTATGGTACAAGAAGAAAATGGTAATAATCAGGATATTATCGTCGAATTAGACGGTTCACAATCACATTCTCACACAGGTTCTGATAAAAGTCCAAGTGAAAAAAGTGATTCAATAATATTTGATACACCACCGGAACGGTTTAAAGCCCTTCCATTACCAGATAATGTGAGATTATGGATTGCTTATATTTGCAATGCTGGTGCACTTTTAACTGTAATTTCCGTCATCCTGTATGATTTTGTTGAACTAGCTCTTGGTCGTAATGTTTTTGATTAAATTGTTTTTTTGAGCTGTATTGCAGGTCAAAAAAACTATTCTTTTTAAATCAATATCTTTGAAAAAAATTTGTTCCTTTTAAACTCTTTAATTCATCTTTAATTCCTTTCCACACATACACGCATGTATAATTTAATATTTCGTAAATACTGTATATTTTTTAAAATAGTTTCTAAAATAATGTTGTATGTACGTACGTACGTACATTAGACAAAAAGGCTCATTGACTTCTTTTTTTTTAAAAAAAAAGAGTTGCATAATAATCACGTAATTATGTAAAAACTAGAAAGGCAATTATTAATTATAGGGAGCAAAATTTCTTAATATAATTTTTATATATATTAATCATAGTATTATTTAGCTTTAGAAATTGGCGATTAGGAAATAAAATATTTATAAATATGTGATCTTTATCTATACACTAAACCAATGACACGAAATTGCTTGGTCATGTGATTAAGTAAAAAAATCACACTAATACACGTTCATAATATTATAAACTAATGAGATATCTTTATATGAGAATTTTAACCATAATTTGAGATTTAAAAGCTTAGCGTTACAAGTATAGCAATAAATTAACTTAAGATGAAATAATCTCATGGTTCACTAATATTTAGAATTTGTTGAAAAGTATTCTTAATTATTATAATAGAAAACGAAGCGAGAGTAAAGCTAAAAATTAACAATAACTAATACATCACAATAAACTTCATTATAATTTAGATTTGTTAAAAGTATCTTTGACTTGCTTAGCAAATTCATCATCAAGCAAAAAGTCTAATCCAACTAAAGTCATACAACTAGTACATTTTATAGTTTCTTCATGAGCACTTTTTGATTTGCATTCTGCTGTAAATTCTCGTTGATGATTAACAGTAGGAATAGATGTACGAATGTCATATAATGGATGAAATCCAGGTACTAAGTAAGTTACATTTCCTTGATCAGATGATCCGGTAGAAAAGCTGGCTTGAACTTCTTTGGGTGGACAAGTGATACCATATTTTTTTGAAAGATAATATTCGTATCGTGATGCAAGAGGTTCATTTATATTCAAATCTATAAATGATAATAATTAAATTATAATGATTTTAACCAAGCAAATATTTAATAATATTATTATCAAATACCATAAACTTCTTTTGACCACGTAATTTTTACTGTTGCCCCGGTCGCATCTGCGGCTGCTTCAAAACATTTGTGCACACGTGGGTGAAGCGCTTTCAAATCTTCGATTGACTTTCCACGAATAAAGAAAGTACCAGATGTATAATCCGGAATAACTAAAAAATTTATGAAATATTTGATTATTTAATTTTTTTCAAAATTTACATTATTATACTGTAAATATTACAAACCGTTAGCTGATTTTCCTCCATTAGTAATTATTCCATGAATTCTATAAATATTTTCAATCAATCAATATTAAGTACGAAATTGCCATAAAAATAATATATAATATTCGATCTGTACCTGTCTGTAGATTGAATTTGTTGTCTCAACAATCCAATATTATTATAAGCCAAAACTATTGCATCCAATGCATTAATTCCTATTATTTTAATTTTAATTTTAGATGAAATATTGATTAGTTATTATATCAACTTTTCAAATAAAGTCATGAAAGAAGGTTTTTTCATAATACCATTAAAGGGCCTTGCTAGCAATCCCGTTAAGCAATAAATTAAATATTTTTTAAAAAAAATCGAAAAATATATAAAAATGTCAATAAATAAAATAAGTAAATAAATAAAATTAAATTCACCCGAAGCATGAGCAGCTTTTCCAAAATATTCAACTTCTGCAATCTGAATCGCCAATAAAGGTATAAAAGCTCCATTTACTGGACTAATGCATTCGTAAATTATTATAATCAATAATAAATTCGGAAGTGTAGCAAATATTAAAAATTAGAGCGTCTACGTACCTCAATGGACTCAATAACGAATCTTATTGACTAGTTTGATCAAACAGACCTATCGGATTTTTTATTGAATTCATTGAGGTAGGTGCTTGAGAACGCCATTAATATAACATAATGTCACCTTGGATGAATCATTAATGAGACATCAACTCCGTCATATGCACCGGCATTAATTAAATCGATCTTTCCGCTGCCCTTTTCTTAAAAAGTAAATATATATTATTATATTTGAAGCTACGTTTTTAAATCACTAATAAGAAAATTTAAATACCTTCTGCTGGGGTTCCAAATAACTTTACAGTTCCTTTAATGTCAAATTTCTCAAGAACTGCTTTGAAACCAATCGCAGCGGCAACTCCACTAATTGCGATAAGATTATGACCACAAGCATGACCAATATCCGGTAAAGCATCATATCTAATATTTTAGGCATTGCAAACTTGCCATCAAAGAATTGTCAAATATTTATTCCAAAGCAACTAATATTACTTACTCTGAATTAAATGAAACAACACGACCTTTTCCAGCCTTAGATTGAAACTCTGCTACAAATGCGGTTTCTAATCCAAAAGCATGAGGTGTTACTTTAAACCCTTTTTCTTGTAAATATTTAACCAATAAATTATGTGCTTCTCTTTCTTCGTAAGCTAATTCTGGATTTTCATGTATCTACGTATTTAAAATATTTAACTTACATTAAGATTTTAACATTTTTTTTATCAATGGTTTACCGATAATTACCCGGCAACCACTTCTCCGACAACTATTATCCCGAATAATATTTTCCCAATTTCATGACAACAATTTCACCGATAATCACTTCCCCAGCATAACCATTTCCCCAACAATCACATCATGTTGGGAAATGGGAAATGGTTGTCGAGGAAGTGTTTATCGGGAAAATGGTTATGGCGGGAAATATTTGTCGGTAAAATAGTTGTCGGGGAAGTTGTCAGGTAATTGTTGGTATACCTTTATTATCAATATGAATTTACCTTTATGCTTATATCATGGAGCTCTTCAGAAATTTCTTCAATAGCTTTAAGAGCTGTATCAGCATACTTAGCTGTTTGTTCCATTCTAAGTAATAATTGATATAACAAGTAAGATTGTAAGCTTACAGCAATTTTTAATTTTTTTAATTTAAGGTGTTATAAGCATGTAACTTACATGTAAGTTAAATAATATATAATATAATATAAATAGAATTTTTGCTAGGTAAATGACTTTAGAGCTATATAAATTTATTAAATTTGCTAACGCTAACTTTTCGATAATTAAGCTTTTTTTTTTTTTTTTTGCTTTGTAGAGCTTAGTGGCGCATAGTGATTTTTTATTACGTAGTACCATATTATATTAGTATATATTAATCTGGTTCATTTACATCATAAATTTTGGATGTTTAAGGTAAGTACGTACAGTACGTATGTAAGTCAACTCTAATCACAAGTTTAGTTTAAGTTGCATACAAGGCAAAACATTTTGCATATCAATTATTCCATTTGGGAATGTCGCGGTTGAACTAACACGGAACCCCCTTATTGTACTGTACCGATTAATTTTTCCTGTGTCTCATCATTTCCGTATTTGTCTAATTCTTTAAGTTCATTTACATTCCATATTCTTTTTTATAATAAATGCCTTATTGCTCAATTCATGTGATCCTTCTAACGTCAACCAACGAGTTAAACTCGGCATGACAATGCCAAGCTCTCCCTTACAGTACGTACGTATGACGTAATGATCCGCTTGTGAACGGAGTCACAAGGCGGTACATTATTGCGAGTCACTGGACTTTCCACATGACCAATGGGTCACAGGACCTGTCCATGACGAAATGGTATTTGAGTAACCTGATGATCTGTGGTTTTCTTTGTCGTTTGAATTTTCTGCTTGACATTCGTAGAATTCAAATAAAAAAATTATTATCAATTTTGATCAAGTAGTTGTTGAGATATCTTTGATCAAAAAAAATTCAATAAAGTCTAAAGTAGCCCTTTTCCTTTGGCAGCACTCATACTACGTCACGGGGCTCTATTCAGGAATCACAGGATTATACAATTCACTTATCAGGAGGGAATTAGAGCGAATACTTATACAAATGAGTATTTGAACTCTACCGAGTTCTACTCAAAATTGAACTCTACTTCCGATTGAGCTCTCCCTTTATTGAAGCATATATGTGGGTCTTAAATACTTTTAGACCACTACTGCGTACATAGGGCTGTGTTTGCTACTCTGCTATGTTTAATTATATGTTTTGTATGTTTTGTACGATTCGTATGTTTTGGACGATTTGTATGACTTGTACGAATCGCATGACTTGTATGATTTGAACGAAGATGACAGCATCGTACGAATTTGTATGAACGACTTCGTACAAATTGAACGATCTACGAATTTGTACGAATCAATGCGCCACATTCACAAGTAAATATGCATCTAATCTACTATTTACAAAAAAAAATAAAAAAATTATCCCAAGCCACGTTTTACCCCTTTCAACTTGTATTTTTTATTACTTTAACAGGTTTTTATCTCAATTAAAGTGAAGGACATCAATGCTTTTTTTTATTATTGTCCTTCGGAATTGAACTAACCAAATACGGATTTGTCTCTTCAAAGCCGTTGTTACGACCGGTGAGAGAGAGAGTTTATAAGGTCTTGAATCAATTTGGCTTCGATCGTTTAAATCAATAAACTGACACACATAATTACAGGTTAAGGTTTCTCTTTATTAACATAAACAATACATCAGACTAAATACTATCAACAATCGTTAATAATCATTCTAACAATTGTTATTACAATCGTTATTCCCTTCGCAGACAGAAACCACACCCTTATATATCTTTAATTCGTGCGGGTTTTAATTCCTCGCTGAAGGTTATTAACCCTCTGGACATTGCTATGAAAAAGGCATAGTCACTGTTAAAAATGAAAATAAAGCATTTATATGGTTTATGAAATCTGCTAAAAGTGGTAATTCAAGTGGACAGTACAATCTTGGAGTTTGCTATGAAAAAGGCATAGGAACTGTTAAAGATGAAAATAAGGCTTTTGAGTTATACATGAAATCTGCTGAAGGTGGTAGTTCTGATAGACAAAGTAATCTTGGATCATGTTATGTTATGAACATGGTATAGGTACTACTAGAGATGTAAATAAGGTATTCGAGTTATATTTGGAGTCTGCTAAAGGTGGTAATCATGTCGCACAATATAATCTTGGTAATTTCTACAAAAAAGGTACAGACACAAGCAAGGACGAAAAAAAAGCATTTGAGTGGTTTTCAAAATCTGCTAAAGGCTGCACAATACCAACTCGGACAATGTTACCGTACTGAAATGGTAATGGAACATCATCTGATCATGAAAAAGCTATTGAATGGTTACAAAAAGCAAAAAAATAGTATTATCAAAACTTTATTGATTATGAAGATGTTGTAATTGATCAAAAAGGAAATAAATTACCGTGGATTCCATCTAGTGAATTAAAATTCGTACAAATGATAGTAAAAGGTGCATTTGCTACCGTGTATTCTGGAGCATGGACACATTCATTTCCAAATGGAATTTTAACTGATATTGTCGCACTTAAAGTATTTCATGGATCTGAAGAAAGTTATGAAGAACTTTTGAACGTGGTATATACTTAAACATTTTCTTATGATATTTATGTTTTTTTCTCTTTCATTAATTTTATTTTGATTTTTAAGTTAAACGTATATTTAAATGTAGAATCTGAAAATCTTACATTTTTACAATGCCTTGGAGTATCAATAAGTGAGACTACTGGAAAGTTTATTTTGGGAATGCAATATGCAAAAATGGGGTCTTTACGACAAAATCTTTGCAATGTTGTACGAATTAAATAGAGTGAAAAACTGAATTTGTTATTGTCACATGTGTGACGGTCGATCAACGTATTTAAAATATGAGTAATCGAAAATGTCGCAATAAATAAGTAATGCGATATATATAAATTATGCGAATGAACAATGAGAGTAATTATTTAGTAATAGTGTCATAATGATTATCAAATGCAAATGTATAAATATAATAAGTTGTGAGCAAGCATTCTCTTAATGAAGTAATTACCCATTGATATAAATATAAACTTGTCGTTTAATGCAACAGTAAACAAGTAAATAAACAATAAAGCGAGTGTTCGAATCGTGTAATAACGACCCTGGGCCAGATATTTGGTATAGTTTACCCTATATCGTTTAACCACGTGACAGTTATCTTATATCGCATTTGAGCTTCAATTAATCCATTCACGTAATATTATTCATTGTGATCTACACAGTGGAAATATATTTCAAAATGATTTATATAATGCTTATATTGGCGATTTAGGATTTGCAATATCGGTCAATAAAACATTAAATTCAGAAACAAGAGGGATTTTTGGAGCCTTGCCATACGTGGCACCTGAAGTTTTACAAAAAAAAAACATTTACTAAAGCATCGGATATTTACTCGTTTGGAATGCTTAGGTCACGCAAAGTTGATTTTTCGTTTTGCATTACATGGATTTCAAAATTAGGGACGGACGGACGGATTTTTTTTTTTTTT